GACTCAAAATCCTAATCTCTGAGGTGATACAAAAAACATTTCCTTCTCAATTATTCTTCTCTACCGCTTTTATTTTTCAGTTGTCAAAGCGAAAAAAGCCTGCCTGGCACACGCTCAGTTTTTGATCGATCAACCTTGTTCCGGAGCTTTGAAAAACATGCCTGTAAAGTTCATCCTTTTATCCGCCTTATTAGTTTCTTTGTAATAATTAGTAATGCAGCAGTGCCAATTTTTTTGTTTTTCATTGAAGGTGTCGGATAAAACATTTTGCACTCTGGATAAGCGGAAGTTAAAGGCAGAAAAAAAAAGAATTTGATGATAAGGGAGAACAATCAATAGGCTTCGAACTGCTGTTGTTTTTTGAATGCTCTCCTAAAGTGAGGAAGACAAAAAGTTAAAAATTGAAACATGGCAGGCCATTTCCAATTAATATGAACCAGTCACAAGTCGATCAACAAGCCTCGTGGTAAACAGTAATTTCTCACTTAAGCTATTTTGAAAAAGTTCCAGTCGGATCTACATACAACTTTTTCCAGAAGACAATCTCAGAAGCTCTCAAGTTTGGTCACAAAGTGTTCAAGTAAAACTTTTTGATGTTTTCAGTGATGTGTATGAACACATTCAGAGGTAGAAAACGAGTCACAGCAGACAGTAATAATCACATACGTGAGAACAGCTTACAAACAAGCATTGAAGTTTTGAAAATTGATATTGCCACAAAAGTTTCTTGATTAGACATCAGTAAAAAAAGTTGGCATGAAATATTTAATTCTTAGAACGAGTTCTCTTGATAAAGACAAAAAAAAGAAAGATGAAAACGTGAAACACATAGGTTAAGGTATGGATACATGATATAACGTTGAAATTATCGCTTGTTACATTGTGCACTCCTTATGCTGCTTTTTTTACTCAAAAGTTTTTAGACAGAAGTGTTAGCAGTCAGTTTTCTCTTGTGACGCTATATGACATCATTGTTTTGTCAACTAAACGGTCATTTATCACTCTTGTACTTCCATATCTTCATTTTTTTTTTCTTTCTCTTCAAAGCTGATTTAAAAAAGTTTTTACTGATAAATACAAAATTAAATTTTTAATTGTTGTGCTTAAAAGGACTGCTTTGATATAAGTGCTTACAAGATTTAGTTTTCGCTTCCATATCTCTACAAAATACCAGCATCTTCTAAAACAGCTCAGTCAAGTAAAGCGTTAGCTAAACACTGTTTT